TGAGGCTGTGCTAACATTAGTTTAAAATATTAATTTTACTTTAGAAAATGAAGCATTCAATGACTTTCTGTCCCCTGGGGCATTCGCCGCCCCTCTCAATAAGCATTGCCTGCTCTTCTCAATGGACACCTGAAATCCAAACCTATTAAACGTTGAAAAGATATCTAGAGACCTAAAAGAAAGATTCTGTGTAAATGTTTTAAATAAAACTTCAATTATATCATTTTAAAATGTTCTTCCGTTTCTTTTTTCATTAACGAAATGTGGAAACGGAATTTTTATATTTAAAGAACTCAATTTTGTAAAAATTACAAAAATCTAACTTTTTACACGCTCCTCCAGTGCCTAAACTTAAGAAAATTTTCATTCTTCATTCATTCTTAATAAATTATAAAAATTCATTCTTAACTCTTTCGCATCGAAGTCGCCCGCAACGCCCGTTCATTCAAGCAACGGCAAACCGCCCCAACGCCTCGTTTATTTTCTACCTAGTTCTTTCCCCTCCACGTTAGTGTATGGCTCATTGGTTTCGCGAGTTGTTAAAAGACATGTCAATCATTCTTTTGAAGCAAATAAAGGAGAAATACGGAAAGCTATTGACGTTCGCAGGTGCAATCCGGCCCTAAGGTGAAACTGCACACAATGGATGAAACCGCAGGGGGAAAGGAAAACTATTCCAAGACAAATTCGTAAACACAGGCGTTTTCGATGTTTGTTGAAAACATATTTGGTCGTCTCTCGATGCGAAAGAGTTAATAAAGAATAAACAGGAAGTTTAACTCTAGTTTTGTAAAATGTGACTGAGATATTTGAATTTGATATACTGATATATTGAGATGATATACTGAATTTGATATACAGACATATTTGAATTTGATATATATATTTGAAACTGAATGAGATTTTTTAATCGAAAAAATAAAATATCATTTAAAATGATTTTGATGTTAAGAAAATACGTAACGAGCATTACTATCCAAATTATGGTGAAAAATATTAATGAACATAATTATTTTTAACAAAACAGAGAACGCATTAGCAGAATCTTCTGGAAATTGTGTTCTTCAGTGTTGACTCACAAGCCAATTCGTAATATTACTTGCAATAACTAAAAATGAAACTATTTGTACTTTAATGAATATTAGAGGTAACCAAGTTATAGTTCAAAGGTAATAAAACTTTATGAGACTATTACCAACATATTTTAAGGCTTAAGAGACTTACTATTACTTAAGAGACTTACTATATTTAAGGCTTAAGAGACTTAAATTACTTGTGTGAAATTCTTTTCGTTTACGAAATGTAACAAAATTATAAATAAAGTCACTAGTAAATCTCAAAGGAATGTCATTGAATACCGGAAAAAAATCAGCCTCAAAGTTTTCTTATATATTTAAAAACCGACCACCTCAATGCAAATTCACAATGAACCAAACCCAGCAAATTTTGAAATTAAATACCTCGGTGGATTTTGATTGTATTAAATTGAAATATTTTGCATTTTATATCGTATAACAGGTACGAAATCTTATCAAATATAGATATAAGGACAGGGTGAAGGTTGAAAGTATCCCAATAGTAGCGGAAATAAAAGTCGGTTAAGGGCTTTTGTTTACACAGTGTATATATATGTATTATTTTTAATTTATATAAAAGTATAATTATCTAGAAAATGATTTTGATAAAAAGTGGTTTCTGGAATGTAAATAGGCGGAATATTTTCAAAATTTTAAAATGCTGTTTTCGAATCTTAAAATGAAAAATATTTGGAAAGAAAACGTAAAATTATAAAAGAATAAATATTGTAGCTTAGGAATTTTATCTGACATGTATTTCTCCATTTATCCATTCACTTATCATGTATCTCCCATTTTATATTCGCTGTGCTTTCATAAATTCCAAGGAGTATTTTACTAGTGGTATTCGCTTTTAAATATATTCAATATACGCTTCGATGTTTTACGTAGCCCTTCAAATATATGCCATTCAGGAAAGTGTATTCTTTGAATTCCCATCAAGATTCAGCTCCGAATTTTTCTGAAGAATCGGCTAAGGGAAATACTTCCTCGATAGCCTTAGGGAAATCTATGCCGTTTTCTAAAAATATTTCTTTATGGCAAAGGCGAGCTAAAGACGCGTGGATTTAGTATGATCGACAAAAGCATAGCATTTGAAGATGCTTGCAAATGAAGAATTAGTTTACAAGATACTAGTACTGATATTAAGATTTAATTGATTATGATTTTATTTTGTCATAATTTTCAGATATAAAAATTTCGAAATTTAAAATACCAAAATGTTCAAACATAATTATTTAAGCAATGAAGTAAAGAAAATGTATTCACGAAATGTTAAAAAAAGGCAAGGAGAAACTTTATTGCTGAATAAATGCTACACATAATAACTGTACGAACTGCTTTATTTAAATTATGGTTTTAAATATTTAAATGAAGTATGTCATTTTTGAATGATTTAAAGTATATATAGCATTTAAGAGAGACTTAAAGTACAGGGACAGGGACAGGGAAAAGTGGACGGAGCACCAGAACTTCGTCAGTGACTTTTACAGGTGTTGCTCCGCCGCACTACTGTACCCCGCTGGGCTTATTAGTTGGCCCGCATCGGATGCTAGCCTACCAAGACATTTACATAGTAATTTTACATTAATATTAGACTTACGTATTGAATATACAATTACAAAGACATAGTATATAATTATTGCAAAGAAATTAACCTATTAACAAAAGTTGGATTATGGCAGATTGAAATAACATAATTACTTCGAACATACATACAAACTTTCATTGTACATTGTACTTCATACAAACAATATATTTACATTAGTATATCTAGTTACATCGAATTAAAATAAACATCATTTTAAGGAGCTAATTGAAGATTTTTTTTTTTTTTTTTTGTTCATTTTATCATACTTAGTTGAATTACTAAGGCGAATTCTCTTATTAATACACTTCCTTTCATTTTTTTTAACTTGTTACACACAAATGCATCAGCACTGAAGTCTTACATTATTATTTTTGTAAATTAATGTATCATAAATACAGAAAATATACATTAGAAAATCACATAATACTTACATTTACACTAATATATCTAATAGAGTCGTATATTATTTACATTATTTTTAATTAATGATTTAATTATTACACTAATACAGTCCAAATTCTTAATGTAACTATTTTATAAAAACTATTTATACCATATTTAGCCTGTTTCAGACACTTGCAATATTTCTGAAATCTTGCATTATTTTTGCAAGTTGTAGAATAAGAGGTATTTATACAGATGCGATAGCATCTTGACATATGTCTTCTCTTTTATATGCAAAAAGTTTCTTCATAATCAAGGAAACCTTTTGTTGTAAATGAGGTATCGTTAGCATGCATTTAATGTACTCAGGCGTAATTTGTGACCTTCCTTTGCAGTGTAGCTCTTTCCTTGCAGTGTAGACTTAAAGTACAGGTGACAGGTGACAGGTGAATGCAGGGCCCGGACACCCGGACGGCTTAATATGACAAATCGGGTGTCGTCCGGTATCCGCACCTATTTAGAACAACACAACCCTGGCGACTTCCTGAAAGGGCTGCATCGGAAATATATTAATGAAGAATATGTGGTATTGACGTGGCCAAACAAGGGCGTGTGCATATATATGCTTCAGTATACAATTAATAAAAAGTTTCATACATAGGTACATTGGTGGTATAGGTACATTGGAGTACAGTAAATTCGTTTTTTATTTTAATTTAAACAAATTCTATGTAAAATATATACGTATCTTTATCTTGCATCTTACACACAAGTATGGCGGTGCATTGCCACTTTGCGCAAAATGTCTATCAGCAGCTCTGGTTCTGCAGATTTTTCAGTTAATCCTTGCGTAAAGAAAATAGGTCGGCTGCTAATAAAAACAAACCAAGACTGTTTGGGAGCTCATTTTTTAGTTCGCAAATTTTTTAGTCTAATTTTATGTACAAAGGACCGTTGTCTAATGGTGCCCCGTCATAGAGGTACTGGCACATTTAAACAAGTCAACCACTAATCGACAAAGCAAAGATTTACAAGGATGCCGCGGGGTAAAGATGCCGACACTCACCATTTTAAGCTGTAAAGAATTAGATCAGCTGATGAATTCGAGAGAAGCTATAGATGATGGTGTTTAAAAGATGAATTTAAAAGGTTTAACTATTAATTTATTTTTGCGATTTATTACTCCTTCTTACAGTATCATTGATTTTTTTATTTCCTTGTGTGAAATAAAGGAAGTATTTTAATTGAGAAAAATTTTGGGTTTCAGATTTCAACGGAAATGTTCTATTTGCCCGTTCCCGAATCCATTTTGACTAATTTTCTTGCGTGACATCCGTATTTACGGACGGTATCGTAGACTCTTTATTCAAAAAAAAAAAAAAAAAAAAAAAAAAATAGTAAAATGAATTCAAAAGGAATTTTTTTCGTGGTGTATGTACGCATGTATCTCGCATAACTCAAAAACGGTTGGCCCCTTTGAAATTTTAAATATGGGACTGCTGTAACACGGATGCACACACACATATATGTGATACTTTTTGGTACTCAGCTTTCATTCATTTGCAGTGAGAAAGACAACACTACTCAGTCCCTGTTTATATGGTTGTTTGCCTTATTATCTAGTTCGCTTTTTATATAATTATGAAGAAAACTTAGCGCTTAATCGTTCAAATTGATACTGCTGACTTAATACACACATTATTTCCTGTTTTATGTTTACACACGTTTGTAGTACTTGCCTTTCATTCAGTTGCAGAAGGCGATATTTTTTAATTGCTAAAAACGTTTCTGCTGAAATAAAACCTGTATCAATTAATATTGTTGTTATAGTTTCAGTTTTACTTGGCGTGTTATTATTTCTCTTTTTTTCAATGAAATACTTTGTGAGCAATTCTTTTTATTTCAAATGTGTTGCTTAGTATATTAATAACATGACATATTTCTTGCAGGTATCCATCAAATTAAAAATTGCCTTTAACAAGACCAGAGGAGATCGTCGTTTTTATTCAACCTGGATGAGACATGATCAGAGACCCACCACTGCATATATTGTTGAAAATCTTCTTTTCTTATTTGTTACATCCGTGCCCGTTATTAGTAAGTATATCTAAAACATTTTTCAGTGGCTGGCAGGTATCATCTACAGTATTGTATCTGTGTATTAATTTGCATATTTTTGTTGTCTTAATGGTTGATCTTTCTATATTTTAACAAATAAAAAACTTTCAATATTTAAAAATATACAGCTGATGCTTTGAAATGGCAGATTGCTTTGAAATGGCAGACTGTTGAATATAACACCATAACACCTGACGTACGAAGTAACTGTTGGTGTCACATTGTAGATATGTGCTAGTAAACGCACCAAGCAAAGTGAAGGAGGCAACGAAGTGACAAAGCTGGAGAAGTTTGTGCCTGGTGTATCACTTTTTTGAACAAGACAAGTTCGATAGAGGTGTGCCCCTTTCTCACCCTAAACCATATGGAGAGGATTTTGCATCTACTATGATACCAATAATGAAAAGTAGGTCTGGATGGCAACATCCCCTCAAACATCAAATTCGAAAGAGCATCCAAGGCACTTCCAGCGTTCTTCATCCTTAAAGAGATGGTTTTGCTGGTCAATGGAGCGCAGCTGGCGTCATTCAGCGTGTCTTCGTCAGAGTTCCAAAGTCACGACTGTAGACGTTGGATGGGCTGAACTGCGCTAAAGGAAATAGCAACTTCACGTGAAACAACCAGATCTCGTGAAGAGACATGGTGCTTTTGCATCGTATGGCGGTGCTTTCTTGCTTTCTTGCCCATGTTTCACAAAACGAAAGCCGATCGAGTTGGATTAAGAAATCTTTCCTCACCCATCATTATATTCGCTAAATTTCTCCCGAATAGAATTCATTTCCTTTGCCATCTGGACTACTTCCCCCCCTTCGGAAGTTTTAAAATCATAGCAATATCTATCAGTCAGTGACGATAGATATTGACGTGTTCTTGTAGTCGCAACCATAAGGCTTCTTAAGGTGTGCGATTCACAGTTTGGCACACTGTTTTAAAAAATGCATGAGGGTAATAATTTTGAATATGGCATTTCTTGGTAAATTTCCTTGGTAAGACTGAATACGTTTTTAGGCATGAAGGCATCATTCACATATCAGCCATTTTAGATATACCAATCCAATAATCCTAAATTTTTGAAATACGATAAAATATCGATTGAAAAGAAAAAGTGTCATTTTAAGAATTATTTAAGAAATATTTAATTATGCATTTGCATCTGCTGAATTGAATCTGAACATGTTAAATGTACCAGTTGTTTAACAATGTACAAGGGCGAGTCAAATGAAAGTGAGCCAATGCGAATATATGACAAACAGAGAACTTTATTTAAAGGTAGTCTCCATGAACATTGAGACATTTATCCCATTGACAAATGAGCCGCGTGATCCCCGTCTCATAAAACTCCTTGGGCTGTTGATTCAAAAAGTCTGTAACCGACTCCTTCACGGCGGCGTCCGACACGAATCTGGTACCCTTGAGATGTTTTTCAGTTTCCCGAAAATGTGAAAGTCGCATGGCGACAAATCTGGGCTGTATGGAGGATGTTGCAGCGTGTCCCACTTGAACTTTGCCAGTCTTAACCACATCAGCGACGTGGGGACGAGCATTGTCGTGTAGCAAGATCACACCCTTCGTCAATCTTCCAGGTCGTTTGTTCTTGATTGCGACACGCAGCCGATCCAGCGTTGCACAATATCGCGAACTATTGATAGTCTCTCCACGTTTAGCAAATTCAGTCAGTAATGGGCCCCCTGACGATCGAAAAAAGTCAAAATAAGCACCTTTCCCGAGGAAAATGACAGCCTTTGCTTTCTTCGGGGGTGGTGAATTCAAATGTTTCCAGCTTTGCCGGCGTGTTTCAGGTTCGTAGTGGTGGCACCATGATTCGTCTCCGGTCACAATTGCAGACAAGAAGTCGTCACCCTCATTGTGATACCGGATGAGATGAGTCAAAGCAGTGCCGAACCTCTCCGTCTTCTGGCGGTCGTTCAAAATCTTGGGCATCCATTGAGCACACAAAAGCCGATAACCGAGATGATCATGAATTATGGTGTGAACTGAACCGTGACTGATGTTCATACGCTCTGCCAGTTCATCGATGCTTATCCTCCGTTCTTGTCTAATCAGCTCATCAACCTGTGCAATTGTGTCGGGGGTGATTGCAAGGTGGCTTTGGCCCGGTCTTGGATCGTCTTTGCAACTTTCACGTCCTTCTCTGAACCGTTTGCTCCAAGGCTTCACAGTGGCCAATGCGATGCAATGTTCACCGTACACAGCAGTCATACGGCGACTAATTTCATGTTGGGAAACACCTTCAGCTGTCAAAAACCTGACCACACCACGCTGTTCCTCTTTTGGAGCGTCCATTATGTCACGCTACCGTCTTCAACCCAGTGTAAGAGCGCCTTAAAGAACTTTAACCTCACACTTTCGCGCCACTTTCGTAAATGAAGGCTGTCTCTGTGCTACGCGCATGCGCCGCAGATGATGGACTGAACCATTTTTGCTGAGGAGGGGTTGGCTCAATTTCAGTTGACTCGCCCTTATAGTATATAAACTGAAATGTCTTAGGTTCTTACTATTATTTTAAACTGTATTTATTGAAAACATTCTCAATTAAGATTTCAAAAGGAGAAAAATTTCTTATACATATTTAAAAAGGCTGTGTGTATATTAAGATCATATTATGCATAAATGTTCCATTAATGTGAATCAAGTGACTTTACAATGTGCTTCAAAATGATTAGACGACTATACTATTTCTTGATGAACTGACCATAGATCAGTAGTCCTAGTTAAAAAGACATGAGTTGAAGTTTAATTTAGTTAATAAAAAAGTTCAATTTAATTGAATATGGCAGAGCATGTGATGTGTAACTGCGTAGAGAAAGTAACGTCTTCTTGGTAGACCTTCTAGGCTACACACTGAGAAAAACACGAAAATACTACACACACAGCCCTTTAGGAGGAGTAGGAAAACATGTGAAACTACTAGAATACAGCTGTCATATCCACTCTGTCACTGGTGAAAATATATAAGATAGAATTTTAGACCTGAAAACGTTTTGTCGCATGACACACTTCAATAATTCTTTATTTGTTTATTTAAATATGGAAATTCAAGTGAGAGCTATCTGTTGGAGGCAATGGATGACTTCTGGGAGATTTTCATTGGAAATGGGCTCTTATTACATATGGAGAAAACTTGGAAAATACCCACATATTTAGACTATTTGGCAGAACTCAAACTTGAGTCTAAATACCGCTGCTCAGTGTATTTAACCACTCGGCGAATGATAGGTCCTCTTTCTAGTAACAATATAGGAAAAATAAAGTTTTATACGAGCCCTCATTGGCATTATGTGGAAAAAAATATCAATAACTTGGGAATGAGAAAAATATTTCTCGTAGCCAAATTAGTTATTCAAAAAGAAATTAACTGAAATTGATATTTAATCAATCAAAACTGCGAGAAGTATAATTAATTAAATATTTCGCTACCTTTTTGAATATACAGTTAAAAATAATTATACGCGCTATTTTACACTTTAAGAAGGTGCATTTTGTGTCAGATACGCAATGCTGCTGCAATAAACATGAGCTCAAAGTGCTAAAACTCAAAAGTTTGTATGCCACAAAATTCAATATTTTCACCATCCCCTAAAGCCATTGTTTTCCCATTTCTTTTTATTCAGTTAATATATATACTATATACATCCGAAATAATACTATATACATCCGAAAACCAAGATTTCAAAATAAGAAATCCAAAAACTGAAGAGGTGGTGGAATAACATTTGCAGCTGAAAAGTAGGATGTGCATGGAATTTACAGAAACATACAAAAAAAAAAAAAAAAAAAAAAAAGAGGTAGTACGAAACAATTGATGCCAGCCGAATACTTCAGAATTTAACAACATGAAAAATGAGTATTTATCAAGATTAATGTTATGAGTATTCAGAACTGATTTCATTATTTTAATGATGAGTATGACATTAAAATCTTAATAACAGATTTAATAACGTCGTAACTGATTTCCGTTTGCTTTTCATAGTCTCTTTTTCTGTTTGTGTTTTATGAAATCTGCTTACATGCTATTCACCATGTTTAGTTGCATGCATCTAAACTAAACATATCCTTTGCTATTCACCACGTTTAGTTGCGTGCATCTAAACTAAATATATCATTGAGTACTGGTAGCAAAATAAATAAATTATCGATAGTTTGCGATTCATTCAGGGGGTCAGTATTTTTCTTTGAAATGACAGGCACAGAATATTCTTTTAAATTTTCATTTTTATTCTTGGCAATATTTAAAATGTAGATAACTTCATTATCATTAGAAAGTGTACTGACATTACTGTATTAGAAGAACACTTACCATGGGCTTACACTAAAATCAAGTTTTTTTGAGAAACATTAAAGGCGGGCATGGTGCCCAGATCACTGCTTTTTATGCAGTCAGTCGTTTCGCGCTTCTGATTACTTAATTAGTCTTGCTTTAAATGTTAGCTTTGGCGAACAAATTTGTGGCCACCGGAAATTGCAGCACTAGATAGTATCAATTTGTTTTTTACTACGAACTGAAGAACCGAGTAATTAATGCATAGAAGATTCAATTTGCAAACTTTTCAATGAGCGGTTTTCAATGAGCGGTTAACCGTGGCAATGAATAATACTAACCTTTATACCTGATGCGAAAGCATATTTTTCATCACACATGATCATGGGCGTAACGTGCAGGCCACAATCTTATATAGAATATCACATTTTTAATAATTGCATAGTTAGCAGTACCACAAAGCACAAGCGAAATGCTGTTGCGTACAAACGGCAACAGAGCTGCAAACTAACTGCGCATTTATCCAATCTGGCAGTCTGGAAAAGTTTTGGTTTAGGTTACACAAGTTCCAGTTTCCAAGAGTTACGTCATCAACGTTGCGAAGGCCATGCGAGAGGGAATGATCTAGAAATGACGCAGTTCAGAGAAGTTATTGCGATTTTTAGAACAGAGAGGATGAATTAATTAAAGGGTTACCGTT